TCAACTTTCCGCGCTGTCGTGTAAATTGTGATGGGGGTGAGGTGTCCTGACGTGACAGAGGCAATCTTCAGAGCTATCAAAGGCCAATTACGAGAGTATTGCACCAAATGAATAACAGAAATTATAATTAACAACTAGCCGGCGTCGACGTCCCATGTATCAATGCACATGAGCATCTACCATAAATTTTTCGTCGGGTGAATGCGCTTAAATATTCTTTGAAGTGCCTACAATGAGATTTTTTTCTAGCCGCAGCTAATTTTTTAACTATTCCAGGTAAATAGGTGCCAGCTACTACCGAAGTCTAAGGAGTTTGCTAAGAGAGCTAATTTTTTTCTATACAGCGATGCAAACGCTGGAATGTACTTTTTCGGAGCTTTAAATATATTTTCTGTGAAGAAAAACAAATTCGTCTTGCGTTAACAGTGTTATAGACGTATAACAGTAGGTAATGAGGTTTTATATACAGGGATGGCCAGAAGTACGGAATAAAATTCATATCTTTTGAATGAGTTAATTTTTTTTAAAACGCCGAAACACGTTAACTGATTTTGATTTTTTCCCATCTTTCGGTTATATAATAATTAATTTTTCGTCAACCCCCTAACCCCAAGCTACCCATACTTATTTTCAAATGGAAACATAAGGCATGAGGGGGCTCGTTGAAAAGCTTATAGAAAACCGAATCCAGCGATACCAACTAAACAAATTTTATTTTTTCAATACCAAGGTTTTTAGGGTTGTATAAAACACCTACTTAACAAGTGAAATAAAATTTAATTATCTTCTGTGTTATCCTCCATGAATTTGCACAGAATAAAATAAAGAATTTGAAACTGTACCTATCACTGCTAACGCAAAAAAGATATATTTTTTGTTGCGTTTTTTTGGCACCACTTACTTGCCAGGCTTTCTGGTTAATTTTTCGCTTTAGTTGTAAATTGGAGTTTGAAACGTTNATCACAAATTAGCTCTAAAGCTCTCGAAGCTCTTAATGCTTCCCGTCTAGATTAGTCCTTGCCTACGACGAAGATTCCTAAGGGTACCCAGCTGGTCAGCTGCAATCCACTAGCCCAACTACGAGCTCATAACGCACTATAAGGACCTCATAACCAGAACATTTAGTGTCTAGTCACATAAAAGACTATAGAGTCCTAGAGTATTCGCAGTGTTATAAAAAATACTAATATTTTAGTAGTCAGTGCAAAACATTATACAGAGGGTCAGTCGAATCCCTAACTTGAACTCACACAGGTTGAGTTGAAACATTGAAACTCTACTTGAACTACCAAACAGTAACTGAATTAGAAATTAGATTGTTAGCAGCTAACAACCTCATCATCCATGGAGAAAGAACACAAGTCTCAGAGCCATTTACCCCTGGCGGTCTCTTAGGGTAACGGAGGAGACGCACGACTGGAAGCCTCCTTATCAGCAAGCAGGTGAATAACAACCCGGTACCGTTCACAAAAGACGATCCAGACCAAATCATTCCATTCAATACCATCCAGATGCTACACGAAGTTCGTGAAAGGCTACCGCCGATGCCCCAAAGAGTCACGCAGGGTGACGCGGCTCAATCCGATGTCTAATCACGCAGTTCCACGACATGGCGCCCAACGTGGGACCCGAATTATTAATGAGCCTATGTTCTCCTACGTCCCACGTCATGACGCCATACAAATCGATCCAATGCATAGAAAAGCCGTTCCACGACACATCTTGGCACCATTGCAGTTTTTTTTATATATTTCAAAAAAATTCGCGATGAAAGGTAATGCTTAACGAAAAACAATATCTATTTAATACTAAATTTTATGTATACAGAGTAGGTATCATAAAATATAAAAATAATTTTTCTTGTAGTGTAAAATATTAAAAATTATTTTTTATTTAATTTTTATGTTCAAAATTATTAAATAATAGGCATGTACTTAAGACAGAAATATTATAATATAGTTTTTTATACAATGTGTAGTTACAGAAGAAACAGAATGATAAAAATATGATTTGAATATTTGACTTCATTTTCTTCACATCACTAAAGTAATAAAATCTCAGCAACCTAAATTTGTAATATTTCTTTGCTCCCTGAAATAAAATGTACGTATTTGTGTGGTCATTGAGTGTAATACGCATAAAAACTTTTAACATCATCAAAAGTATTTTTGTCAAACTCTATACCTTTTATGAAAATGAAATTTTCTGGAAAATCTACAAAATACCTAATTAGCACTGAAACCCACTTTCAATTTTAATACGCTATACATATAACACTATTTTGTCACCCTAATTATATTGTGTGAGCTTAGAATTGACTTTTGTAAGTAAACCTCATAACTACTACCTATCTATATTGCAAAATTGAAGAAAATGTAGTTACAAGGTCGGCAATGAATTTGTTCACTTTTAAATATTTAAGGAGGTTTATCGGGTACGGTCTAAAGTCTATCGAAAGTTTCTGTAGATTTGCTAGCGACTAAAGTGGTATGCCTTTAGATTTGGCGACGTTGCACTTGGCTGGAGCGTTCGCTCGCTTCCGTTCGATCATTCTGTTTGTTTGGACACCTGCGAATTTCAAATAATACGCTACGCCGAGACCGCGGCGTTGCCGCTATCACGCATGTGGAGGATAAGTTAGTCAACGACAGCAGTTTGAAGGAGAAATATTATAAATTATGTATCTTACAAGTAGGTATCTAATCGATTTCTACAAGCTGTCATACGGTTCCATAGATATCGGTTTCCTATATATACAAGTTGCTGTGGAAACTGTTCGACAATTGTTGCGTATTCTAAGTAGAAAGACCAAAAAAATCTGCATTCTCATAAGACTGTACTAAATCGTGAAATAGCTATTTATGATATACGTGTCAAAAGTAAGATTTTATTTTGTGAGTGAAGATGATTAAAAAACGAGCGTAGCGAGTTTTTTAACTTCACGAACAAAATAAAATCACTTTTAACACGTATATCATACACTATTTTTTCTACAAAACTGTTAAAAGTGGGCTTTATAATTGTCATTTTTGATGTTAAAAATGTCATTTTTTGACACGCGTGTTAAAAAATGACATTTTTAACATCAAAAATGACAATTATTAAAGCCCACTTTTAACAGTTTTGTAGAAAAAATTATTTTATTAATATCTGGTCTCTTAGGTATCCAAACTAGTCATAATTTTTTTGAGGATTTTCTTCATATTAATAAGCTTATATTAATTTTTTTTTATGAATATTTGTTCGTCAATTCCAAATCAGATAAACCTTAAAAATTATTTAGATTTCGAAATTCTTCTAAATGAGCACAGAAAGAACCTTTTTAATACCCAATATTATATTTTTTCATATTCGAATTAGATATTCCATCATCGAAAACTTATACTGTCTATGTCGTTGGGCGCCAATCTAGGCTTGTTAAGCAGCTGACGTCAGTATCGCCGCGCGCCTCTAGTCTTGTAGAGTGGGGTAGAAGGCGTGGTCGTTATGAAAGCATACGCAACATCACCGGCGATACCGTAGACCACTCTCACCATTTTACTGCGCAAGAGTGGACGTCCACGAGGCCTCGACCTTTACTCCACTCCACAAGAATATAAAGGTGCGTGGCGGTACTAATGCCTGTAGCAACGCAAACTTCCCACTCCACATTCCCACACTGTACTCGACAGGCCTAGAAGCTCGCGCAACGACACCTGTGCTACACATCCAATGATAAGATTGGTAGCGCCCGCTCGGATTAACACAGGACTCTCCTGGGGGTTTACATAGACGAGCAGGAGAAGAAAGAAGATCGCCAGAAGGGCCCTAACCGGCAAGGCCCAGCCAGGACGGGACGCCCCACGAACTACTCGAACACGGCCTCGTTGGTGGTCCGGAATGACGGGGAAATGTCTGTACGAGGCGTCTACATCTACAAATATGACGTGGCTAAAAAGCGATAGTCCCGCTCGACCCCGCCCTATCCAAGGTTATTGGCGCGCGTAGCGCCCTCAGCCGCAACGAAGCTTTTGCGAACTTAACCACTGAAGGGGTGCCAACAATGAAGAACGAATCGTTTGAAATCATTGAATACTTGGAGATCACTACAGAAACGTCTCAGATCACCATTGTCTGACAAGCAGTGCCGTCCATAGCCTTAGAACAAACAAGAACTGAAATGGAAATTAGGGAGGACCTAGAAGTCCTATCACGCTAGCGGGTCCATGTAAACTGCTATGTATGTAATTTACTGTTTCGGCGGTGCGGATACAGCGTACCGAAACTGTTCCTTCTGCATATTGAAATCGGAGACTGGCACACTGTAACCATGTTTCAATTAAACCATATTTGCTTAAGTCTTTTCTATTTTGCAAAATGAGATTAGAATCGACTTCAATTATTATTTAATTATTTATAGAAGTATTATGCTAAAATAATTTCTACTTTTTACGAAAAGATGTATTAAGAGGCATAGCAAATAGGCAACCAGCAATGCATTTTTATAGATTTTATTACACAGTTTTTCTAAATATGAATTAATACACAAATAAGACTTTCCCCCATTTTAACGCAGATTTTCTATAACTTCTAATTGGTTTGAAACTGAAATAAGTTTTTGGTGTAATGAAATTGTAATTTACAATGCCGCTTGTTCAAAAGCAGCGAATTACAAATTTCTTTACAACAAAAAGTTATTTGAGTTTCAAACCAAGTCCATTTTATAGAAAATCTGCATTAGAACGGACGAAAGTCTGTTAATTATGAATTAATTCATATTTAGACAAATTGTGTAATAAAATCTATAAAAGTGTATTGCTGATTGCCTATTTGCTACAGAGCCCTTTTAATAACAAGAATTTTTCCTAAATTATTTAGGACCAGTTGATGATGCCGAACCTACCATCCTTGACCGCCACTGCAGAATACCCAGGGCAGCCAACCGTAGCATTTCCATGGGATGTGTGCTATTTGGAAATTGAAAGAGATACAAGTATGGGGGGGGGAGAAAACACATTACGTAAAGGTAAAATATATTACAAATGTAAGCTTACAAGCTTCTTTGGTAAATGATTGATGCATCATCAACAAATCAACAAAAATATGTGCATACCATTAAAAAATGCATATACATTTTAAATATTTAAAAAATACTGACAAAGTAATAAGCTTCTTTATATATCTCTACATAATAAAATTATAAATAAAGATTTTTTACTCTTAATAATTCTCGCGAATGATTCTCCAGCCTATATACAAGTTCATTAAAAAAAATTGTAAATAAAAGAATTAAACAAGTAAGTCATAGTTATAAATACATTACAGCCTCGACGTGTTACCGTGCGACCGATAACAATTAGGGCTCCAACACCTTCTTCTCAGTCGGCGGCATTTCCTTCACGCTGGCTGGCAAGCTGACTTTCTCCACATTATTCTCCTTCGGCACTCTGTGCGTCTCGTTTTCCACCCTTACGTTCGACTGACTAGAAGCAGAAGCGTGACTGCTCGACCTCGAGTGGCTGCCGCTGATTGGCGTCTGCACCTGGGGAGTGGGGGGGCCCTTAGCTCCAGGAGCTGCGATCTGACCCGTCTGAATCTGCATGTGGTACTTGTAGATATTTTCTGTGGATTCGACGACGCCTTGGGTGAGGTTGAGACTGCGGCCACGGATGCCCGTCTCTTTTGATTTGGGGGACCACCAATTGACGAAAGTTCCGACGATCGGGACGTGTCGGATGAGGCCCTCCTGCCAAAGACGCTCCTCGTTTTCTTTCTGGAGATCCAACGTGGCGGTTTCAATTCCTAGAAAAGTTGAAATTATCAGAAATTTTAGGATATACATATTCTATACAGGGTGATTTATTAGGACCAAGCAATATTTTAAACATAAGTTCTAATCTATGGTACAAAAAATCACCTGTAAAATTTCACGACAGTCTGAGCTACTTTGATACGAATCAGGTGATACTCAGAAAAACCTGTCATGTTAAGGGTTGTTGAATTCTTTCGACGAGGGCACGTCCACAGGGAGCATGCAAAGTTTACTTTAAATTTTATTGGATCTCGCTATTCGAATCAGTTCAGTCCAAACCTTCAAAGATGAAACATCGGTCGTCTAAGGAAAGATTTTAGCTTTATTTTATTTCGGTATCGTCAGTCTGGTTTGGAACTTCAAAGGTGAAACATTGCTCGTAGCAAAAGATTTTGACTTTATTTTATTTCGGTATCAAGGAACACCATGTGCTTAGCTGTTGCGGTACGGTTCCAACAAATTGTTCACCAAACGAATTCGTTAACAATCCTAGTCTTTTTTTCTGCAATTTTTATTGCAGAAGCATAATGAAAAGATATTTATGGGTAATTTTCATTACACAAAATTTATTTATTTTTTTCTTAAAATCTTAAAATTTTCTTTATCATAGAATACGTATGTAAAATTTTATAATGAAATTCGACGTCCTTCTAATTATTTTCGTCCTTTTTCAAAGAGAGGGCATAACACGTATTGTATCTTTATTTATAAACGGTGGTATACATCTACAAGGGAGCGCGCGCATCGATGCTGAAATTCTGAAATTCATGTGCAACGGTTAGTATAACTCTGCCGTTCGATGTAAACACAACTTTAAACGCGATTTTCTCGAAACAGCATTCCTGAAGGTTGTGTTAATGATAACTTAAAAACAGTTTGACCGATTTAGCTAAAACTTGCAGGATTTTTTCTTTGTGACATAAGCTTCTAGTTAAAGTAAAAAAATTTCGAATTTTATATTGCAAAGCTCAATAATGATTGCAAAAATTACCGAAAAATTTTGGAAAATTGTTAATTTTTTCGAAAAACTTCTGCCAAACAAAATTTTAATTTTTTTTTTAGTTTAGCGACTACCCAATTGGGGTGTCTCATAATTAATGTCCAATAATTTACCACTTGATTCTATTGCTAAAAATAAGAATATTTTTTTATATAAACATGTGTCAAGAAATGCTTCCTAAGGGAGCTTCACCCCCCTAAATGGGGCCTCAAAAAATTCATTTTTTTTTAAATATTTCCGAAATGGCTTGAATAAAATTTTTCAAAAATTTTAGTCAGGAGCGTCTCAATTGGAAGGGTCGTCGGCGAAAATTTGCCTCAATTTTTTTGCTTGTGTTTTCAAATTCAGATACCAAATGGGTACATGTACCATTATGAATTTTGATGTCATCATATCATTATAAATTGTAATAAATAACGTGAAAAGTTCTTTGTTATGGGCGTCCCAAGCAAGGGGGGGCTGCTCGGGTAAAATTTGACCCAAATTTTTTCAATGTTCCTAAAGTAATGAGTTTTCGAGAAAAATCGGTTTAAATATGTTATAACACTTTCCAAAGTGTGCTTTTCTAAGTACTTAAATCCGTTTTTCTTGGAAATGGAGCATTTTATCGAAAGAAATAAAGAGTATCTTAAGAATTATAATTTATAATTACATGGGTTAAATTCTAGCTCAATTTTGATAAAAAATTGACTCTTACTATTTTTCGTTTTCTCTCAAGTTTTCGGTATTTTAAATGTAATATAAACAATTAACAAGAATGGCTAAACTTTTGACAGCATTAGTTCCCACCAATTACAGAAACTACCACAAAACTTTTCAGAAGACTACCATTGTCTGAGGAAAAGCATAAACGGCAAAGTTAACCTAAAGAATTTGTAAAAATCAAAAAAAAGGTTTCGCTAATAAAAAAAAACTTGAACTCCAATCGAAAAAAGTTAAATGAGAAAGTTGTAGCTATTAAAAAAACCTATCGATTTGTATTCGAGATATATCGAAAAAACCGTCAAAAATCGACTTTTTTTGTTTTTGCTGTTTCTCTTGCAAATTAAGGTTTTGAAACTTGTTACTTGTAAAAAGTACCTTTTTTAAAATTAAAAAATATTAAAAATTTTTCGACATACCGATTTTTCGAAAAAAGGTCACTTGAAAATCGGCTCTTCTTGCTCGACGAATAGTCGTAGAGAAACGAATCAGGGCTCATTTTTTCCTTAAGAGTTGTACTTTCATGGTAAAAAAGAGTGATAACGATTTTATTCATTTCAAGTGTCCAAACATGACTTTGAAAAAACGAAAAAATTTTTGATAGCGTCTTTCTTGAATATCTTTTTCGATTTTTATTTCTCGATAATGTCTATTACAGGAACCGATTCCTGGCATTTTTATGTGAATTTAAAAAAAAAAATCTTGCTCTACGACCTTCTGGAGCTGATAATTTTTTTTTTCAAGAAATTCCACAGGCTGCTATTTAAGTGCTCCAGCAACCATTCTTACATATATTAAAGTTGAAGACTTATATTTTCAATAAAAAAATACTGTGGTTCATTTTAGCCATTTCTGCATTTTTAATTGTGCATTAAACCGAGGCGCTCGAGCGCGGCGCTAGCTAACCGTAGCGGGCGGCGGAGTGGAGGTAACGTTACTCGGCCGCTCCGAAAACTGAATTCGCGCGTTCAAAAGCGTTCTTACTTTCAAAATCTTCATTATCTCGACTTCTAGACCACGTACAAAAATTCTTTTGTACATAATTTGGAGTAGTTCGACAAGATAAACCAAAATATGACATTTACGACAGCCTCAAAAGCATAATTACCTTTGAAAAGATTTTATTTTTGCAACCGCTGACGCAGCTACACGATATTTTTTTAAAGGTAATTATGCTTTTGAGGCTGTCGTAAACGTCATATTTTGTTTTATCTCGTTGAGCTACCCCAAATTAAGAAGTCAAGATAATGAAGATTTTGAAAGTAAGAGCGCTTTCGAATGCGCAAATTCAGTTTTCGGAGCGGTCCAGTAGCATTACCTCCACTCCGCCGCTCGCTACAGTTGGCTCGGGCCAAATTCTTCGGTTTGGCACACAATTAAAAATGCAGGTCGTAAAGCAACGTTTTTTTTTAAAATTTGCGTAAAAATGCCATCGATCGATTCCTGTAATAGACATTATTGAGAAATGAAAATCGAAAAAGATATTCAAGAAAAACGTGACCAAAAAATTTTTACTTTTTTCAAAATCATCTTTGGACACTTGAAATGAATAAAATCGTTATCACTCTTTTTTACCATGAAAGTAAAACTCTTAAGGAAAAAATGAGCTCTGATTCGTTTCTCTATGACTATTCGTCGAACAAGAAGAATCGATTTTCGAGATGACTTTTTTTTCGAAAAACCGTTACAATTCAAAAATTTTTTAATATTTTTTAATTTAAAAAAAAGGTACTTTTTGCTTGCCAAGGGCTACATTTACAGCAAGTAAAAAGTTTCAAAACCTTAATTTGCAAGAGATACAGCAAAAACAAAAAAAGTCGATTTTTGCCGTTTTTTTTCGATATATCTCGAAAAGTAATGTAGCAATCGATATATTTAAATATACGAATCGATAGGTTTTTTTAATAGCTACAACTTTCTCATTTAACTTTTTTTCAATTGGAGTTCAAGTTTTTTTTTATTAGCGAAAAACCGTTTTTTTGACTTTTATGAATTTTTTAGGTTAACTTCGCCGAAAAAGCCTGTTATGGTTAAAACTTAAACATTAAAACATCGAAGTAAATTCTAAAACATCTAGTGATTTTTACCTTTTTTCACGATTTCACTCATAGAATCCAGAACCCTCGAATTCTCCTCCACAGATTGTCCGACCCTTATAACCAAGTTAAGCAGTTCCTCGACGTCCGACTGTGGCGTCAACATTCCAAAACGAACGCACATCAAACCATCAGCATCTTCGCCCAGCGAGAATGCCGAATCTGTGGATCTCAAAGTGTCCACGAGTGCCATATTTAAATGGTTCAACTCTTCCTTTGCCTGATCTGTTAATAGCTGCTCCCAACCTTCCGGGCAATACCTAACACCACCCATGCCTAAAAATCATTTTAAAGGTGATACTTTGACTACGGTTCGATAAAAAGAAATAATTATAAAACTACAGCAATAACATTTCTAATGAAATACCAATTATTTAATGTTTTACCTGCCCAGTCCGGAAGGTCGACAATTTTCAAGACAGGCGAAGCCTCGACCAACTTAACGAAAGTCTCTCGATGGTGAATCGTAGCACGTAGAATAACAAGCTGCTGTTCCAAGCAGTGCACAAAGGCTTGCATCTCCTCGATCGTAGGTTGTTGTCCACTGGCATTTTCGAAAGGACAGAACCTCAGTACGACACCGACATTTTCCAAATCGCATATATCTATGGGAACCTGTGGTGCGTCTAACTGGAGGATCTGGCCCAACCAGGAATTCAATTTGTCGTAGTAAGGGGGAACTTTGGATAAAAATTCGCCTTCGTTTACTTCCGGGGTGAACTGGAACACCACGCAGCACGCCGTCGACTCGAATAGTAACTGATAAAGGAAATGCCGTTAACATTTATTACTTATTTACTAACGATTATTTTGCTCGACTTACAGGTATGTTTGCTGGTTTTGATATTAACTCGGACACTGTGTAAGTGCCGCTTTCTCCACCTGGTTTAGGACTCTAGCAAAACAGAAAATATATTAATACCTCTACATTAGTGTAACTGTTCAAATTGTAACCAGCAGAACACCACAATATGTATACAGTGTTTCATTTTCGGTGTGCCAAACGAACACAGATGATAGAGAAGGTAATTTTGAGCAAAAAAAGTTCATATCGACATGTGTCCGAAAACGCACCCCTGTGGCGCCTCGCCCCTTTAAGGGGGCCATTAAGACACAATTTTATTACAATAGGTATCTCGAAAATTCTTGGAAATAAATTGGTAAAATTTTATACAGGAGTTCCATTTATTACGAGGAATTAGTTTATCTAAACCAACTTGACACATTGTTTTCAGGGGCGTCCCTACTGGGGGCAAGCCAAGATTCAAAATCCATAACTTTTTTTATTTGTCAAATTCGTATTTCTTTTTTCGAAAATTGAAATCATTGACCATTTCTACATATAAAAGATATACTAAAAATATAAAATAAAACAACATCCTACCTGACCTCATTTGTTTTTTTTTTAAAGAAACCTTATTATTAATTCATACTAAATATTGTTTATCAACCAACTGTGCATTTTAATGAAATATTTGAAGAATATTCCTACATAAGTAGTTACTATAATATTTCGTTTGTTCATAATTTTCGAGATAAGAAAAAGCATAAAAAAAAACATGGTGCAGTTTGAAAGCAAAAAAAAAAGTTGTGCGACGAGACTTGAACCAGTGATCTCGTGACCGTCGGACTCGAACGCTACCAACTAGGCCACCCTCCCAGTTGAAAATGTGTCGCATCTAGTGTCGAACTACTTCGGAAAATTTTTATTCAAGGTCCAAACTACATGTACCATAAATATCAAAAATTACAAAAATCCAATTACATTGCCTTCTCCTTGTGAATACTCTAGAGCAAGGGTCGGCACCTGGCGGACCGCGGTCCAGGTCCGGACCGCGGAAGGTAAAATACTGGACCGCCAAAAATTTTTTGAAAGTATAAATTACTCAAATAAATTATTTAAAAAATGTTTTTTACGTTTAAGTGCAAATCTTATCATTTTTTCTAGTATTTTATAATTGTGTGTGTGTGAGTTCTTAATGGTTAGTAAGCAGATTAAATTTGAGTCCAAATTAAAATAAAAAAATTATATGAATTTTTTTTTTGGACCTCGTTAAAAATTTTCAAAAGTATCTGGACCCCACCTAAAATTACTTGCCGACCCTTGCTCTAGAGATTGCAGTTTTATCATAAAACATGGTATAGAGAATAATGTGAACGGCTGTTGGAGCAATAAAGTCTGCAATTTACATGAAATATTCCTCCGATTTTGTAAGAGATATTTTTTACTAGAAATAGCTTTCTAACTATTTTTTGGCCATTTCAAGCATAAAACTGGTTTCTTATAAATCTTAAAGAAGGACTACTAGGAACACTTTGTTTCTGTGAAATATATTTTTGGGAAATATGCCTTTTAGACATTCTAGTAACACAGTGCATTCATGCACAACTGGGCATCACCATATTATTGGTATCAAATTTGTGCCTTTTTGGACACTGAATGGATTTTTGGACGATGGATTTTTTCTGATATACAGGGTGACTCATTAACAATGGAAAAATCAAAAGCTGAAGATACTACACGTGAAATGGTGACCATTGGCGCAAACATGCCTTATCCGAAAGTTGATAGTTTCGGAAATATAGGGTGTTGTAAGTTAAAACTTTAAATAGTTTTTTTGCGATTATTCTGAACATATGTAGGTTAGGAACTTGAAAATTTGCGAAACTATATTTTTTTAGGCGACGAATAAGATGCGTATTGTAATTTCAGCATTGCTTATAGAGGGCGCCACTTACGACCAATTTTACCGAAAATTTAATTAATAACTTTTTACCTTGTACATTTAACATGAAACTTGATTCAAAACCTGAAAGAGCAATCATTTTTCCATTAATTGTGTATTCTTGTTTTATTTCGGTATCTTGATCCGTTTTCGAGAAAAATAGATTTAACAAACACTATGTTCTGATAATATGAGAAATTAAATGCGAAAGAAACCAAGTGTTTCTTCGTGTTATTACAACAATTAACAATAAAACAAATGAAATTCGTAATAATGATTTAAAGTCAGTGTTCGAAAAATCCACCGTTGATATTTGCACACTTTACACAACATTTCCTGAGAGATCTTCGAGTTTGAAACAACATATTGGGATTGCGTTTGACTTTGTTGGCAGCGATTTGTATTCTTTGCCACAACTCTTCACGCGAACCAATAGATTCTTCCAAATAGAAAAATGAAGAGGATTTAAGTCCGGACTTCTGGGTGGCCAAGTAAAAATGCTTCCACGGCTTGAAGAAGTTCCACTTTATTTAAGAAGAGACATGTGGTTTATGCACGACGGAGCTCCACCGCAGTTTTCTTGGCCAGTGCGTGCATACTTAGATGCAGTTTTTCCAAATCGCTGGATTGGCCATGTAATCATTTTTGCTTAGCCATCCAGAAGTCTGGACTTCAATCCTCTTGATTTTTCTATTTGGTCTCGAATGAAAGATATAGTTTACAAAGAATCTATTGTATTTATCTTAGTGTGAAGAGTTGTGGCAAAGAATACAAATCGCTGCCAACGAAGTCAGACGCAATTCCAATATGTTGTTTCAAACTCGAAGATCTCTCAGAAAACGTGAAAATTGTATCAGTGACAACGGTGGATTCTTCGAACAATTACTTTAAATCATAATTATGTATTTTATTTGTTTTATTGCTAATTATTGTAATAATACGAAGAAACACTTGGTTTGTTTCGCTTTTAATTTCTCATATTATCAAAACATAGTGTTCGTTAAATCGATTTTTCTCGAAAACGGATCGAGATACCGAAATGAAACAAGAGTACATCATTAATGGAAAAATGATAGCTCTTTCAGGTTTTGAATCAAGTTTCATGTTAAATGTACAAGGTAAAAAGTTATTAATTAAATTTTCGGTAAAATTGGTCGTAAGTGGCGCCCTCTATAAGCAATGCTGAAATTACAATACGCATCTTATTCGTCGCCTAAAAAAATATAGTGTCACAAATTTTCAAGTTCCTAACCTACATATTTTTAGAATAATTGCAAAAAAACAATTTAAAATTTTGACTTTCAACACCCTGTATTTCCGAAACTATTAACTTTCGGATAAGGCATGTTTGTGCCAATCGTCACTATTTCATGTGTAGTATCTTCAGTTTTCGACTTTCCCATTGTTAATGAATCACCCTGTATAAAAGGGACAAAGGGACTAGTGTAATCACTAGTGACCGCACTTCATTTGCACATGACGTCATTATCAGGGGCGGACTTAGAACGCTGAGTTAAACTCTGTAAAAACTGAGGTCAAAAGTCTTACCTTGTACTGACGGTTTATAATATCCACTATGATTCATATTAAGTTTATTAGTTTACAAAACACTCTACACTGAACTCTACACCTATTCACTTGCAGTGTTGAAGTAAAACTGAATAACCAGCAACTGATGTAAATGTTCAGGTGTTAGGTTGTGGCGTTTATCGCTAAAAATCCATTTAAGTTTCGAAAACGTACGTTCAACGTCCANCCTAACCTACATATTTTCAGAATAATCGCAAAGAAACTATTTAAAATTTTGACTTTCAACACCCTATATTTCCGAAACTATTAACTTTCGGATAAGGCATGTTTGTGCCAATCGTCACCATTTCACGTGTAGTATCTTCAGCTTTCGACTTTCCCATAATTACACTGTATAAAAGGGACAAAGGGACTAGTGTAATCACTAGAGACCGCACTTCATTCGCACATGACGTCTTTATCAGAGGCGGACTCAGAACGCTGAGTTAAACTCTGTAGAAACTGAGGTGCAAACACCATATAAAAACTAAAAATCAAACCTTACCTTGTACTGACGGTTTATAATATCCACTATGATTCATATTAAGTTTATTAGATTACAAAACACTCAACACTGAGCTCTACACCTATTCACTTGCAGTGTTGAAGTAAAACTGAATAACCAGCAACTGATGTAAATGTTCAGGCATTAGGTTGTGGCAATTTATCGCTAAAAATCCATTTAAGTTTCGAAAACGTACGTTCAACGTCTACAGATGTTACTGGGGCATATTTAAAGTATATATAATTTTTAACGGATGGCATATTTAGGGTGGATTCAGAAAAATCTACTTCTTTACCTTCAAAAAGATCTACTATGAGACATACAGTTAGAAATCCCGGATTGTTCTGCAAAACGGTATCAATTTTTTTCTTCACACGTTCAACACTATGTCCTGACAATTGGGAAATAAACTGTCGCAAGTCTAAAACATTATTTACTGCGTTATTTACTGAATATTCTGATGATATCAGTTACTTCAAGACGACATAACTGACGGTATTCGTGAATAATTAAAATGTATGTATGCTAAATCTTCACGAAGTGTAGGATCGTTAAATATCCTTTGAGCACATAAAATAGAAGTAGCATCACTTGAATCCAAATGCTGTATAACACTTTTTATGCCGTCACAGTGTACGTAATAATAAGATGTTGCGTCTAACCACGTACCCCAACGTGTCAAAACAGGTTCTGGAGGTAGTGGTACGCCCGGAAGGGTTTCTCTGAACAAATTTACCCGGGCTTGTGCTTTCAAAAATATTTTCTTAACATTAGCTATCAATTTGTCGACATTGGGATAGCACTCTCTAATCGTCTCGGCGACTCTATGTAATCCATGTGCGAAAAATGTCACATGCAACGCGTTGCAGTAGGTCTCGCGAAGACGTTTTCCAGCCGCTTTCATGTACGCAGCCGCATCCGTTACAAAGAGCAGCACGCGGTCTTTCTTGGCTTCATAGTTCTCACCCCATAAAATTTTGAGACTATCATCTATCAATTGGCACATTATCTCCGTGTTCACCCATTCTATAACTTTCTATAATAAACGTGCTGGTATTTTTGTAGTCTCATCCATTCCTCCCACCAACATATTTACAATATTCCGGCCACGTCAGTCGGTAGTTTCATCAACAATGCTAATCCAAATATGTTTGTCGTCTAATTCAGAAATTATTTTTGTTTTAACTTCATCGTACACTGCTGGCAAATATTTTGTTCTCAGCGTGGATTCTGCGGGCACGGTGACATTGTTATACTTTCCATTAACGCAGTTTTGCAAAAATTGTCTAAAGTTCGTGTTATTTAATTTGTTCATTGGAATATTACACCCAACCATGACTTTTATCAAATCGTCGTTAAATTGTTTTTGACGTTCACTGGTGGTCTGTTACTTTCACGAGCTTTGTGTTTTTCCGAGTTTATGTGTTCCGCAATTCGTGTTTTATAATTCCACGATATAACGCATTTACAAATTTTGCACCTTAGTTCTGCTCCATCGAATTCTAAATCGGGGTAATCTTTTATCCAGTTTTCGACCGTAGAGCGAGCGGGAAGCCGACGCGACATTTTTACAGAGACAATAAAAACTAACACTTATAATTAAAAATATGCATATACACCATACTGTTATTGGACAACCATGACCTTGACACGTGCGGGGTAAATAAACATGGTGCTTTTGTCGATTAGCCGGCACTATTATTATTTTGTGAAGAATGGATGAGATTGAGACTGTCAGTTCAAGTACAGAGCTGAGATGTGCGAACAAAGTGCAGTCTCTAGTAATCACATAGACAAACATCTGATTCTTCAGTTGGAAACTGTCTCGAATGTAATGAACAAACCTTCAAATATTTTTGATAAGAGTGTTCATTTCATGTGACCCTCAGCAAATGATACTTTCAGGCAGCATATCCATATTTTGTGGAAAAATTTTTGGAATTAATTATTTAAAACATTTTAAGTAAAGAAAAACTAAGTCATTTTATCTAACAAGTAACAACTAATTTGGAACTACGAAATTTTTACTATAAATTTGTATAACTCACCAGTACTCTAACGTGTCTAAAAACATCCAAAGCTGCCCACAACTTCTCGCTGGCCAAGAAATCTTCCCTGATCCTGATGTGAACTCCCTCTTTTCCCAAATTCTGCAAAGCTGCCCACAGAGGCAAAGCTAGAATTCTCCTTCCCTGATGGTCTGTGTTTAATCCGGCAAGTAGGGGAAGAGTACTTTCTCTGGTAGCGCCGACTTGTTTGCTTCGATTTGGATTCACCGAAGAATCCCACAATCTGTAGAGTGTCTATGGAGATGTTAAGGTGACTTACACAGTTTAAATAAATACTTTAATAAATTCGCATATAATAAAGGATACAACTATTGGCAGGCCAGGAATACCCAACCAACTACCCAGGGTTAGAGTAAAACTATCCGCAACAGGTGGAATCTGAAATGTGAACAGACATGCACTGCAATGTCTTTGAAATTACCACACACCAATGATGACAATTACGAATGATAATATCACGAAAAGGAAAACAAAACCTAATAATGCAATATCACAAGTTCAAAGTAAAAATGAAACTGAACCAAGATACACAAAAGTAGTTTCTGACAAATCTAAAATATATACACGGTGGGCCAAATTCAATACTTTTGGAGTTTCCTTATTTTCTAAAAAGGTAAACTATAAGTAATTTAGATGTCACATGTTCGATTTTTGAGAAAGCCCAAAGGCAAAAAAACACATCTCAATGTGTGTGTTGTTTATAAAATAGTCGTTTTCTTAATTTATAGTTGCAAAAATATTTTATTTTTAATGCAGATTTTTTGCGGTTTTTTTATGAAAAATTTAAGAGGCACAGGCAATATTTTTTTCAGTTTTTCTGTTTTAACACAAACTTATATATTTTTATTTGGAACACGCTATATATTTTTCAGTTTTTTAAATCTGCATAAAATTTTCTTTCAAATGGTTCATACAACATACGCAATATTTACACAAATTTCTATAAAGTAATAAACAAAAATTATTTTTTTGTTATTCCACCATTTCTTGACACAGTTAAGTGTGTGATGAATGTATTTGACGTATCGATGAAAAAAAATGACAGTATCTACACTGAATTGTGTGAACAAATGAATTACAGTAAAATAATTTTATCTGTTTATACCATAAAAAAAAATGCCAAAAATCGGGCAATATGTTCCATAAAAAAAAACATGTTTATGTTAAAACTGAAAAACTGTAATAGAAAATATCATGTATGCTACTGCATTCAACAAAAATAATTGTGTAAAAAATCTGTTAACAAAATTCAAATATTTTTATAAATAAATAAATTTTTAAAATTGCAAAACGGCCTGTATCTTTTAAACAAATCAAAATATCGAGATGGGGTTATCGCCATTCAACCCATGACTTTTTACGTTTTAATATTTTTGGGAAATGCCCTAGAAATGCTGAATATGGTCCATCAACAGTAAATTAATGTACTTGACACTAGATGCCTTCATCTCAAAAGAGTGACAGAAAATCGCCCGTTTTTTTACAATTCGCAGAAAACTAAATAGATAAAAATATGTTTTTGGTCTCAAATTACTCGTCGTAAAAAATTAAGATGAGCATAGCTTTTAGTTTTTTGAAAATTTTCAAAAATCAGCCCTACTTAGGGGTTGAAAAGACGCCCAAAATGAAGAATTGAATATTGCCAATAAATATAAAAACTATTAGCATGTGAATTTTTCTATCGAATGATTCTTGATACAAAGAAAAATTTATTCTCACGACTGAAATAAGCATGAAATGAAAGCAGAAAATCCACCTTTAAGCGCACTCAGGGAGTGGAATCATCCCCAAAAATAGAGAATATCAGAAATAATTGTAAAAACTCCAAAAAAAAATATATTAAGATAATTCACATGCTAATGGTTTTTATATCAATTGGTAATATTCAAATTCTTCATTTTTGGCATTTTTTCAACCACTAAGTAGGAGTGCTCATTTCAGTTTTTTATGACAAGTAATTTGCGACCAAAAACATATTTTTATATATTTTTATTTTAATTTTCTGTGAATTGTGAGAAAACGGGTGAAAATCACAGGTTTTTTGTGGTCACTCTTTTGATTCTTACTAACAGTTTTGTGTTTTAAAAAATTTAATATCTGTTAATACTCGTATTTCTATTAAGTCAATTCAAATATGCTCCTGTATTGATAGTAGGTACTTTTCAACTTTTAATATCAAAAATATTAAAAAATATATAAAAAAATCAAAATAAAAAATTTACAACTAAAAGTTCTATTCAATCAGAGACAAAACAGGAGTATATTTCTAAGAAAAAAATATTAAAATCTGACCATGTACTGTGAATATATACAGGGTGAGTCAGAAAGAATGAGTCAACACTAAGCTGGAGATTCTAGATACCAAAATATTACCGATAAAGTTAGGCGACCTAAGCAAGAGTACATTTTTTATGTAGAATTGAACGTTCTTTTAGATTTTTAACTTTTCTTAAGCATAGCTCAACAAATAAAAAAATATATGTTTATATTTACCTAAATAATATGGCGAAACTAGCGCCCTCTAGAAGCAAAGTCAAAATAAGCTTCAAATTCGTAATTCTCACACCAAAAAACCCAATACTACCAATTTTCAGAGCCATGCTATTAAAACTTTCTCAATTATTGAGAAATTTCAAAATAAAATTTAAACCTTGAACACCCTGTATTTCTTAAACCATCAACATTCGTATAAGGGATGATGAACTCAAACGTAACATTTTGGTGTTTAGTATCTCCAGCTTCCAGCTTATTGTTGACCCATTCTCTCTGACTCACCCTGTATATATAACTATACACATGAAACCTATTCTTTGGTGAATTTTAAGGGGTCTTATAAAGTTTTTATTTATGACGCTTCGTTAAAAAGATATAGGGTGTTAAACTTAAAAAAATATTTTGAATTTTTTTAAATAATTTAAAAACTAGTAAGTGAACAAAGAAAAAACTAACTGAAAACACAAACAAACCTCATTCCACTGGATTTCTTTTTGTGGGGTATTATTAAGCGGCTGGTATACATCGAACAAATTAATACACCTGAGCAGTTAGAAGAAAGAATAAATAATGTTTTTTATCAGAATCAAGCAACAATAAATTTCGAACAAATTACATTTACGTTACTAAAAAAATGTCGCGTTGTGTTCGTGGAAATTAAGTTATTTTTGAGTATTTATGTAAATAAAATCATTAAAATGATGACTAATGTTATTAATTTCTTTATTCGATTAAATAACCGAAAGATTAGTGTTTGTCATATCATTTAAGTAAAAGATATTATTCGGATGGAATATTTTTTAAAATTATTAATATAGGTATTTATGTCTATACGTCTATAAAGTTATTTCTTTAACATATACAGATGTGTAGATATTTGAAATCAATGACTATACAGTGGAACAAAAATGAACCAACAAAGTAAAGTAAAACTTTTGTGAAGTTATTTTATTTAATGGATCTAAAATTTATACAAAAGTCAAAGTATGAATTATTTAATCATATTCAAATTATGGAGAAAAATTAAAATTACTGTTAAAAAGGATTTATGGAGCAACACAACCTAGTAATCGTTAAAAATTATGTACTTGGCATTGAATAATCAAACCGATATCTCATTAAATTCTTTTGAAATCTTCATTGTTAGTTAATTATGTCAGTTACAAATGATTACCAAACCATATGTCCCTATAATTATTTAAATAAGTAAACAATGATTAATAGTACCGTTAGTAATTAATCAAAAATGTCAAGAACACCCTAAAGGCGTGGAGCAGTCAATTAAGTAACAATATTTATTTTGGAAAGGTTGGGCTACTGCTAACTTATTTATAAAATTGCATTAGCTAAAAATACAATTCAAATGTATGAAATCAAATAATATAAATTTATAAAAATCGTGTTTAATGTGTACATTCTATAGTCAATTGCAGATATAAGTGTTTGAGATGTATTGATAAAAAAAATTATGTTGTAAAATCGAAGGAAAAGTATGCAGTAAATTTTATGGCTAATAAAATAATTTACTGATAAAAACTAATAACCCTTGTGAATTTTATATCTCACACTAAGATTCTAAATACTGATAAAAGAATAGAATACTTAAATAAGTAAGGAAGAGGATATTATTAAGATTGTAGATCACGTAAATATTCTTCTCATAGACGAAGGAAAGAAATTCCAGATTATTTTCCGAAACCTATGAAATTTAAAAAATATTTTTCTTCATGAAAATGCAACAGGAGAAAATAAAAGACAACAAACTATTTTACGTAATACTAGAAATGAAATAAAAAAATTATACAACAAACAAATAGTAATGAAAATGTACTTACATGTCCGTTTCGCTGATGGCTGGGCAGCACTAAGGCAGCCAAGCTGTGCCCCCTGAGGTGCAACCAGGCATCGTGCACTTTACAAAGTTCTTTTATTCTCGAAATGTTATCCACATGGCCCGTAATGGGGGTTCCGGCATCTGCAATTATTATTAAAGGGGTGCGACCAGTGGCGACATCATCAGCCAACATTTTTTGCAATGCCGACAGATCCATGGTGTATTGAGAGCCTGTAAATGTTTTTTTCTTGCTAAAGTTAATATTATAATTCGACATGTGAACAGACATACAAAATATAAAGGAATAGCTGCAAAAATAATTTGGTTACAAAAATTCAAGTAGCACTGAATGATTTTCTCAGTGTATAATAAAAAAAAAATAACTGAAAATAAAGTGGTATTCTCAGTTAATTTTTTTTTAGCTTTCTCCATTTTTCTAATTTCCTTTTTCTAGTGCTGATAAATCCATCGTATACTGAGAAACTACAAATGTTTTTGTTGATATAATCAATGTTCCAAATAATTTAGGCAGAAGATTAATATGTGAAGAGACAAGGTATCAAAAAATAAACAGAAAAACCTATTTTGTTTCAGCTTATGGTTCGGCAGAGAAAAATCATGTAATATTGAAGGTTTTTTTATAATTTAAAACAAGAAATAAAATGGGGTGTCTTGACACTCATTATAAAGTGATATTTTATATTCAATTTTTTTATCACCTTTCTCCAGATTCTTTTCCTGCAGATATTTGAGGGCCTATATTTTTTTATACAATCAATATCTTAACTGATTTAGCTGGTACAGACATAGAGGTCCACAACAATTTAAATTTTTTAGTAGCTTATAGGACTTTCATAAGAAATGTGTAAAAAACTATGGGTAACAGTAAGTTAATAACATCTTCAGGAGATTGTGAAACCTAATTCCTTAAAACTACTATAAAACTTATCCTGTTTATGAAGAACTTCTATTTCCACGCAAGCCTGGAGATTTTAATAAAATCTATACGAAGAATGTTTAGCTTTAGATTACCTAAGGGTTTTATTGGGGCTTTCTTGATACAATGAAAAAACTAAATTTCCCTTAATGAAAAATCATTAAAACTGTTTCAATTAATTTGTTGCTTGCAGCAAAACAAAAATGTTTTACACCTAAGTAGAAAAAATATCAGATTAATAAAATTATTTTATAATTTTAATGCTTTTGTAGAAAGCAGGCTAAACATACAGGGTGATTCACAACTTATCCAAAAGAATTACCAAGAAAAAAATTATTGAAATTGTAGTATTTTCAACCTTTACATTTTTGGGCTACTGTAGTCTCTACCGTCATTCGCTCACGTGCATGGCCCCCGGTGATTCTGAATACTGAAATCTGATTTTAGTATTATCGTTGTTGCGATAGTGTTTACATAGTTTTTTCAAGTGTCAAAAATGGCTTACATGTATAGCGAAGTTGATGGATATCGTTTTAATTTATGGTTAAGGAAGACAACATTTGTGTAGTTGTGAAGCATTTGTGTTATAGTGAAGCAAGACAACATTTGTGTTAATTCGTAGAAACTGGGTATTAAGACAGTTGTTGTCACATATGGTATGCTAAATTATATTATTAAACACAAATTAACTTTATTAATTAATAATAACAATAGCGGCAAAACAGTTGAATTTGCATATAATTAAAATAGGTGTTATAAAATTTTATTTATTTCTTTCCTTGGGAAAGAAATTCCTTAAATGTTTTGTTTATGTGGGTCACTGCCTGCATGTTTTGCCTTGCATGAGGTCAGGTTTTACAGTGGACCAGTTTACAGTAACATGCAGAATTGTATTTTCAAATCATTTTTAAATTGCCCTTTTTAATTATTTTTTAAAAAATGGTCTTTGTAAGAGTTCCCTGTACATTCAAAAATTTTTTTTGGATAGGTAAGTTCTGAATCACCCTGTAGGTGTATTAATAATTTCAATATTTTCACATAACAAATAGTTTACATTTGTTTTTTATTTTCTTTTTCCAGTTGTTTTCTGCAGTGTCGATAGATTCATGGTATATTGAAAAGCTATTATTTTTTCTACAGGAAATAACAAAAGTCCGAAACTTTTGCATTTAATAAAAAATAAAATGAATAATACTGAACATTTTTCTCAGTGTAGAATACATAAATAATAAAATAAGATATTTTAACAATGAAAATAAAGTGGTAATTTCTATTTATTTTTTTTTCCTTTTTTATAAGCCTGAAATTTTATGATTAGAAGCAATAAAGTCCAAAGAATTATGATATTATGAAAACTTAATATGTTTAATATAGAAAAGCACTTAGCTAAAGAAATAAAGGATTTTTATTTAATAAATATTTCATAATCCAATAATTAATATCTAGGCAAACCACTACTCAAATCAGTATACACTAAATATGACAATACTTTAGTTAGGTAAACTTTTAGTTATGGTAATAAATGTTAAAGAATGTGATATAATTAAATACATAATGGATTTAATAAATTGATTTATGCTAGAATAATAAACTGAATACCTCCAAATCTGCCTACTCCTTTATAAATAAAAAAGAGTAGAATAAAAATGGACTAATTTTAGATATATGTATATACTTAGTATCCACTTTGTAGCTTTGTATTTAAACAATGTGTATAAGAATTTTATCTCGCAAATTCTTTAAATTTTAAAATCCTTAACAGCTATTTCAGATAAAATTGTATGTAAAGATACATTTTTGATTTGACATAAACACGAGACTAAGCAATTTACTGTAATTTATTATAATTACTTCACATGTGTACTAAAGGATTATTTTTCGTTATTAAATATTAATAATAATAAAATAAATAGAATTTATGTACATGTTCAAGTTGTAAATTAAACCGAATTTACAAAAATATATTTGAAACATTAACAAAGGACTTACCAAAATGCGTATTAACTGGTACAGGCCTGACGCAAGCGAGTGGTAAGCCCAACTGTCTGCAAAGGTGTTGCACTACGCCTAAGGGGCTAGCTACGCTGCTGTATATTGTCGGCAGAGAGGAATTGAATGCCAAAGCTCCGTCTTCTAAATAACGCGGGTATTTGTAGTGCAACATCATCCTAGTTACTCTTACCAAACCCTCTAAGTGATCTTCATGGTAAAAAGCGGAGCAATCTAAGAATCTAAAGAGGAATAATCAGCCGATTGAAACAAAAAATCCACTAACATCTAAATATCTTTAAATGTGGGAATTCTACATTTTAGTATCAAAATTATTTATTGTTAATTTTCTAAATAACATAAAGAAAGGTAGGTACAATAGTAAAAAACTAAATGTAATTTTGTAGCAAGTACCTATTTAATTTATACTGTTCAATATATAGAAACAAGTTTTTCGTTCAATATTTATGCAAACAGGTTATTTAATTTAAATATTCTTTGTATAAATATTGTTTAAAAATATTTTTCAAGGAACTTGTACACTGGTTTTACAATAAAGCAAGCAAATTGTTATTTTATTATTCTTTTCCAGATAACATTTTACTGTTACACCTAATCATATGAGCAGATACGTTTTTGTTGCTCTAAATGAAATTTGATTCCATAAAAAAGGCTGATAAACCTAAAAACTGCGATAATAATTGCATTGTGTTGCATTATACTTCCTCTTCCTCATTAGCAAATATAAAAAAGTGTGACTAATGAATCATGTATATCTGCTTAACACATTGCCGGTGATGTGCACCATAACTTTAACATTTTTTTAATACTAAAATATACTCGAAAAATCACCTTTGATAGATAAAATGTCCAAAGCATCAAAATAATTTAAGCAGAAACTAACAGTGGCTGTTTGGACTGTATTAAATTATAAAAAAATCTATATAAAAGAAGACTTACCCAAATAATTGGCTTATCCATCGAGTGGTATCTGTGGTGAACCTGGTGCTTAATTTCTGTAAAATGGGCCTCTCTAGTCCACCACAATAAGCAGCCAAGCTATGAGATACCATAACTAATTTAGTAACACTGTCCAAAGCTGGAAAAGTAAGAGGCTCCCCATCTTCATCTGTACTTATTAGTCCCTGTATAATTTGAATTATTTCATCAGTGTGCTTTTTTTCCAAACCCAAAAAAACTGTTGACTGGTTATATGCATTATCGGCAATGGGTATTCCATCAGCTACTTGTTCTAGTCTGCTTACTATTTCTGAAGCCTCTATTGCAATTTCTCCCAACTGAGACTAGAAAATAAAATAAACATAAATAAACCAAATTATGGGAATAGCTACTTTTCATGCAGTAATTACCAAGGGATGTTTATTAAATTTTTATTAAAAAAACATTGTCTTACATTTTTGGTAGTTGAGGAAGTCATATTAGTTTTCCTGACATCCACATCTACAGATTTTTCACTTTTTGGTAAACGTTTACTTTTCGGTGACGAAGCCATCGTGGCATAGACAAATCTACTGTAAAATTTGCTGTCGTCAAGGGAGCCAAGTACCGCCTTACGTCTTTGAATATATTCATAAGTGAAAGTGAGAGATCCAAGGATAGTATGTCCGCATTAGATCGATTAGCTGTCATTCCTCAAAAATAATTAACAGCTGATTGTCAGAAGACCAATACAAAAACAAAATTGATTCTAGGAAAGTAATCAAAATAAAATTATTAATTATAGATCGTGAATAAAAGTCCATCTATTTTTCGGTGTCTAAAGTATTCCAATACTATTTTTCACTTATATTAAAAGTAGTTTAAATGTCCGGGGTCTCCCTGAAAAATATTATGTTGGCAATAAATTGACAACTTGGCGATTGGTAGTCTAGTGGTGTTGCCAGAAGATAATGAAATTCTCATATTTTACTAAAAATAAATTTAATATTTTACTTTAGCGACACTAACAGTAGTGGTAATAAAAATGTATGGTGTGTGTATGTATGATGTGGTAATAAAATTAACTATATTATGGTAATTTATTTGACAATTTAGGTAACTGTTATGCGAAGTTTTAATATTTTCAAAAATACTTAAATCTAGAATATACAATCGGCAACATCGAAACGTCTAATGCAGAAATATTAATTTTAACAAAAATATCTCTAATATTTCTTTAAAAAAATGAGTGCAAAAGGTTGTCATCATTTGCAAGCTTTTAAAAAAAATCATAAAAATTTAGAATCTTTAAAATGGATACATGCTGTTTTTGTAGTAGGAAATACATTAAAAACAAAGGTATGTACATATACCTATAACAAATTTTCCTTGATTGATAAACATTGTTTTTCCAGATTTGTAACTCATATTGCCGTACATGTAAAAAGAGAGGACCATTTCTGCATGCTTGTCTAGAATGTGTATTTTTGGGATGTCACAAACACATTAGAGAACATATGAAAAACCAAAAACATGTTATTTCCATGGACCTTAATTATGGACAGATTCATTGCAATTTATGTTATGACTATGTTTATGATGCTGAAATAGATGAAATTACTATGGAAAGCAAAATGCAATCTGGAAAGTTTAAGAAACGGTAAGGGGAAAGTTTAATAATAAATATGCTCTCTATGTTTTTAACATTGTTTAAGATTATTTGAATGGACTTCCTGGGATGCCACAGAAGAGGAACGAGACTTATTGACACATAGAACAAAAAAAATATGCATCACTCCCGAATCAACAATAGGATTAAGAGGTTTATTAAATTTAGGAGCCACCTGCTTTATGAATTGTATAGTTCAAGCTTTAATGCATACTCCTCTGTTAAGGGATTACTTCTTAACTGAAAAACATATTTGTAATGGAGTCCCAGGCACATGCCTAGTGTGTGAAGTTTCTAAATTATTTCAAGTAGGTACATTTTTATAATTTATTTTTATGTTAGTCATGTGAGAGTAGTCCTAACATTTCAACTACTAAGTTCTTTTTTCTATATATCTCCAAGTAATGAATATGTATATAAGCTGTTTATATTAATCACTTTTCCAGGAATTTTATAATGGAGACAGGGTACCTTTAGCCTTGCACGAGTTATTACACTTGATATGGACTCATGCGAGGCATTTAGCAGGATACGAACAACAAGATGCCCATGAATTTTTTATAGCAATGCTTGATGTGTTACACAGGCATTGTTCAGATACCATGCCAAAAAATTCCATTATCCCAGAAAAGAAGGATAAATGTCCTTGTATTATTGACCAGATATTTACAGGGTCTCTTCAGAGTGATGTAGTGTGCCAAAAATGCAAGTAAGCTTGTTTGTGAAAATTAACCAAGTTGTAATTCCTTCTGTATTCATGTTAGATGTATGTAATTATTGCAGAGGCGTTTCAACAACTTTCGATCCAATTCTGGATTTTTCGTTAGACTTAGGGCCTGTTCCTTTATGCGGAAGACAACCTTCTTCTCTAAATGATTGTCTCGAGAGATTTACTAGGGCAGAACACTTAGATTCTAACGAAAAAATTTTGTGTTCTAATTGTGGATCCCATCAGGAATCTACCAAGCAAATAACCATGAAAACATTGCCAGTTGTTGTTAGTTTCCACTTAAAAAGGTTTCAACATTCAAAAAAAGTAAGTACCTACTTTTCTGTTTTAAAAACTTTGTATGGGAGGGCCAATTTGTTACTTTGAGGGTTCTTGTATTTCCTGAGCTGACAAACAAAAAGTAGTTCAGTAGCTCGATTTTTGAGAAAAAATTAATGACAAAAACCATATCTCAAATTTTTTGGATGATTTTTGTGTTGTTAATCTTTTTTAATTCTGAAATTTTTAATTTTTTTGTTATTCAAATATTTCGAAAATTAATCATGCTAGCCTTGATTTTTTAGGGGCATAATATTGGTCCCCTAAGTACGCAACTTTGCCCCCATTTAAGCTAGTTCTTATCGTTTCCAAGATCCCTATAGTGAGAAGCAAATTTGTATGAGTTTGTAGGTATATTTTTTTATTTTTTGAATATGGTCAAATTTCGTTTCCAGTCATAATATCATAATTATATAAACAAAAAGTTGTCATAATTGTATAAAAATGATTACTTTTAGTGTGCACACTTAAAAAAAAGAAATTAGTTACTTGTTTTTAGATGGAGAAAAAAATATCAACGGTAATATCGTTTCCGGAAATGCTAGATATGACACCTTTTATGAGTCGAAGCAAAAATGAATCTCCTATTCCATCAGACAATAGGTACTCTTTATTTGCCGTCATTAACCACATAGGGAATTCTATTAACGTAGGACATTATACAGCGTTTGTACGACAGCAACATAATTCTTGGTATAAATGTGACGATCATGTAATAACTAGGGCAAACCTTAAAGAAGTTCTAGATTCTGAAGGGTAAGGAGGTAGAGAATTATATTGTAAAGATCAGTTACATTTTTTCACTTTTTAGGTATCTTTTATTTTATCACAAACACGTTCTTGGATACGAGTGATTATTATTTGAAGTCACCTGATTTATGTACAATTTTTTCCTTATTTTATATCATTATGACATTTTTAATATATAGAAGTTTTATGAAAGTTGTTTGTTTTGTTTCCTCCCCAAAGAATATTACACACCAAAAGTACCTTCATCTCCAAAATTATGGAGTTTTAACATGGCATATTTATAAGTAAACTAAGAAATCTATCCGATGTTTAAGTACTAAAGATTTCCCTAAAGTATAAACAAAGTAAAACATGTAAACATGAAAACAGATTGTAGACCAGGCGGTATCTGTTTTGGTTTGGGTGAATCGTATATCCACGGAGATTTTTGGCTCTTTGGCTTTCAAATATCACTAGAAATGAAAATTTTTCTATGCGCATACAAAAAAACGTGGGCTTAACTTTTGACGGCACAATATGTTAAAAAAATTGGAAAAATGTCATATTTTTCATCCTATTTAATTATGTATCTTTAAGAGTTGATTTTAGGCGAAAATGGAAAAGGAAAAAAATGTTTGTAATTAAATTTTTTACAATACATGACTGGTTACAAATCGAATGAATCATGATTATTATGGTAAAAATCGAAAAAATCACAAAAATGGGGTTAAAAAACAATACTTTTTAGGGAATTTTTTTGGTGTATTTAAATTGGGTGTACTACCTTTATACTTGGCTCAAGAAAACTTCATGTTATGTAGAATCATCACACCAAATTTCATCAAAATCGGTTCGATAGATTTTGCAT